AATTTGTTTTTTTTATATATTATAATTTCAGTTTCCTCTCGTGGTCCAAACTTTCCCTTTGAGAAGCCGGTGGATGTTGAGAAGTCAGAGAGAGTGCAAGAAGTTAAAGAGGAGATCTGTGCTGTCAGACTGGAGAGTTCAGCTCTGCTCTAAACACCGGTCTCAACCTGATCAGCGTGGAAGAGGAGACAAGTCCAGGTCAGGACACCTTCCAGGATTCAATATCTCTGTTTGTTTCAAGTCTAGCTTCAGATTTTAAATTCTTTCTTAAAATGTGCCATGTCTTCATAACCTCTGCCCACATAAAACAACATTTGTGCTTTCATTTCCCTGTCATGACTTCATCGTCTTCAACAAATTCAGCCTTACTTTGCACGTTTGAGTCGCTCATTTAGTCGTTCTTCTTTACCTCTTTTTGTGTTTTTTGCTTCTGTTGCTGAAACCAGCGGATGAAAACACACAGATCAGCTCACCTCCTGACAGAGAGGACGAAGAGGTCATGGTTTTGAACGAGCTGCAGAGCATGAGGGACACCGAAGAGGAGGGAGAGGAGGGCGGCAACAAAGGAGAAGATTGGGAGGAGGTGAAATGTTTTTCTAATAACCAAAACATGCCACAAAGGGGACTTTAGCTTCCTTCGAGTTGCTCCCGTAGTGGTTTACCTTCTTTCTCCTCCTGTGTCTCAGGTCAGCAGCCAGACCTCTTCAGTCTCCTCCTGCGACGATTACATCATCGTCCTCCCAGACTGCTTCGACACCAGCCGGCCTCTGGGTGAGTCCATGTACAGCTCTGCCATGTCGCAGCCAGACCCAGCTGACGCCACCGCTGCTGCTGCTGCTGCTGCTGATGATGATGATGATGTAACCTCAGCTGATCCAGACGTGGACGAGGAGAAAGAGGAAGAGTCCGAGCCCGAGCCCGACGCGGCTGAACCTCTGAGTGAGAGGCAGGAGAAGATGGAGGTGGCTGAAGACGAGGATCCACCTGTGAACACCTGGCTTCCAGTTCTCCCTCCATCCATCCACAGCAGTGTGAACCAGATGCTGTGTGCCTCCCAGACGCTCGACGCCACCACGCTCACCCCTGAAGTGGTGCCGCCGCCCGTGCTGCCAGACCCCCTGCTGCCCCCGCCCGCCCTCTACTCACCAAGGTTAGACAGGAGCTCAGTCTCGTGGACATTTGGAAGTTATGACATTTGACAGAAGTTTTGTAATATTGTGTAGCATGTAGGATAGCCTTATATGGTCGCGTGACCTTATATAGGCGTTAATGTTATCTGAACCACTTACACCTCAGTCATCAGAGTCTCCTCAGTCCTTCTTGCGTTTTGGTCAAGCTTTATGAAACTTCCTCAACAATTTATAATATTTATCGTCTTGTTGCCGCATTTTGTGGTTTCATTCTTCTTCTTTTTTCTGTATGTTTCAGGTCTGAAGCACTGTACCTGGCTGAGGACCCCAGCCCCCCGGCCTGTGACCCATATGAGCCGCCCCAACCGAGGGTCCACCTAAATGGTGATTTTTATTTTTCCCTTTTTTAAATCACTCAGTTTGGGGGTTTTCCTTAAACTAATGAGGCGACGGCTGCGAGCGTGGTCAGGCAGGAAACTCCAGCTGCACTGATCTTATCATTATCCATCACCTTTCAATTAGCGGTGTATTTAAGCTGCAAGACTTTCAGTCTTTACCTCTGCTCTTTCATTGTCACCTCTGACTTTCATCAGTGCTGCACTCTTGCTCAGCCCGACCACGATCCGAGCATCCACCTGTAGGCTCTGACTGGGGGTTTTAAAGGTCACATTTTATACAAAATATACTTCACCATGTTTTTGTAACACTAATATGTGTCTCTAGTCTGTCAACAAACCGCCCTATCATGAGAAAAGTCCATCCTCTCCGTCTTTTGCCTGCTCCACTTTTCAGAAAATGTGTGCTCAAACAGGCCGTTTGGAGATTTTCCCTTCATGACATCACAAAGGGCAGTAGCCCCTCCCCCAGGTGGGTGACACTCCCACAGCTAGGTGCTTGTTCTGCCCTCTGATTCCTCTTTCTCTCTGCAAACAATCGAGCATGGAGCAAGAAAGCCCGAGCCACCCAAGCCCTTCCAGAGAAGGGGTGTGGTCAGACACAGCTCATTTACATATTTAAAGGTACAGACACAGAAACAGCCTGTTCTGAGCAGGGCTGAAATAGAGGGGTTTATAGACATGATCAAATACAGGATCAGAGTGGATTTAGAACAAGAAACTTCACACACATGTTTTGGGGCCCTCTGAGACTCATTTACACTGGTTGAAGAGGAGGAGAATATGTGACCTTTAAGATATCTCATCACTGCTTACATTTTTGCCAGATGCCAAACACAAACTTTGTTCGGCTTCTGCAATAAATATTTGAAAAACAAATGCAAACTCAAGTTCTCAAACTGAACCGACATAAACAAGACACAAACAAGACGCTCTTTTAATAAAGAGCTAGATCCTTTAAAAACAGGATCGCTCACTTTGTTGACATGTATTTGCAGTTTAGTCATTCGAAGAGAGGAAACACATTTTGCCCTTTGTGGGATGACAGGAAGCGAGCTCACACGCTCAGGCTTTCAGGATTTGTTGCTTCAGCAAAAATGCTCTGTTCCTCCTTTAATATTGTGTGCGTGTGCGTGTGCGTGTGTGTGTGTGTGTGTGTGTGTGTGTGTTTCCTTCTTCTATTCGCTCTGCAGTATCATCTGGTGGTCTGTCGAGATCAGCAGGCTCAGCATCCAGTGCCTTTGAGACATATAACCCCAGACCCAGATACGCTTTGCAGCCAAGGTGCAACACTACAAAAGACTAGAACTTGACATGCTTACTTTGTGAAGAAAGTATTTATTTATTTAGTATTGATTTGTTTTTAACATTGGAGCCTCGAGTAGCTTTATAAGCAGTTGAGTTTATAGCCTGTTCTAAAAGCTGTGTGATGCTCCTCTCGTATTTACAGCTAAAGATCTCTTCTCTTTTTTACTCTTAAATGGAACAAAATGTCCTCTGTAGGTCTGTTCTCTAACCAAAAAGTAACCACATCCTTTCTTTTACGCAAGAGGCCAAGGAGGCATCACAGAGGGATTCGTCAAGGGGGCCCTTTCTGTGGCAGCGTCTGCTTATAAAGCCCTCTTCACTGGACCAAACTGTTCCATACAGGTATGTCACACAGAGACCACCAGGGACTGCAAATGTGTTCATGATGATGTCACACGATCAAAGTAACTAAGTGGATGTTTCTAAGAAGAACTTTGTGGTGGGGAGGACGAGTGCTTTCTCATAAAACTCATAGACATCCCGAACAGTTTCTCCCCTCCTCCTCCTCCATCAAAGTAACTAAGTGGATGTTTCTAAGAAAAACTTTGTGGTGGGGAGGACGAGTGCTTTCTCATAAAACTCCCGAACATCCCTAACAGTCCGAACAGTTTCTCCCCTCCTCAAAGATGCTGAAAAAGCCAAAACTCTGCAGCTGTTTTGTGGTATTTTTGAGGACATTTTTATGACATCAACAGGGCTTCAGTCGTTATTTTTCTATTAACAACACAAAATATCATAATATCGTAAATTATTGTAATGGGAAAGGTGTTTGATCTATTGAAAAGCCAACAGAGAATTTTTCTTCCAAATGTTCTGCAATGATGTCATGGTGTCGTTTCAAGCCAAACACAAGCAGCTGCTTCCAGCAAAACATTCTTGATAAACCTTTGTACCACACATCTGCAACACACAAACTGCGACTAATAAATCAAACAAATACTTGGTCAACATACATCGAGCCAGATTTGTCTCTCAGGAGTTGCCGTGGTTACCAACAGAGCGTTCAGGAGAGGGACTAAAGGGTTCAAATCAATGCTAGTTTGCCACTGCGTCAGCTGGATGTCTCAATAGGTAACTGTTTCATCATAACAGGTTTATAAGGTGATAAACTGGGAGCGTGTTCTGTTTCCATGGCCTAGTGGCCTCGGCTGTAAAACACAATGCAACGTATGTAAAATGAAGCCAGCCGGGGGTTAAACTGATTTAACGTCTGAAGAATGCTGTGTTTGTGGATCTTTGGTGCAGCTATTTCTTCACAAAATTAAAATATGTGTCAACCATGTAACCTCAATCCACAGAAAGAAGTCCAGGTATTTTGATATTTGTCAGTTTACTGAGGGGAGAAAAGGAGAAGACAAAACATCAGAGAAAAGAGGGAAAACAGATGGATCAGAGAAACATTATGTAACGTTCCCACCTTAAAATATTAGTTTCAGAGTCGATCTAAAAGTACAATAACCTACAAAAGGGAGAATAGTTTCCATCCCATGTCCACAGAGTGCCCTGCTGGTCGCCTGTTTTCAGCAATATGTAACTTTGGCAGCCGGCCTCTGTTCTTTGCGAGAATTTTGTACGGCTTTAAGCCACTAGTTCACACAGCAGCCTTCAGCTAAATAGAAGCAAGTTACCTGTCTCTGTTCTGTTTCATACAAATGCTGCGGCTGAGAGACGAAAGTGGACGGATGAGGCTTAGAAGAGAAAAAGAGAGAGGGACCGAGCAAGACAGAGTTTTACAGGAAACAGTAGGCTGCAAGTGTGACTCTGAGCTGGCTATGTCAATACACTGGCGTTTTTGAAAGTGCAGTTGCAGCAAGAGGCCTTTGGTGGGTGCCAGAGTGCAAAAAAACAGAATTCTTCCACAATTTTTGATTAACTGTAGAGAAAGCTGAATTGAAAGGAACGGGTGGATTCCAACAGGCTAGTTAAACAAAAAATAAGTCATTTTAAAATCAAGCCAATCGAACCTAAAATCTAATTTTTTGTGCGTCACATTACGGATGTCTTATGTAAATAGCCATGTAATGAGCAGGATCATGTATAGTGATCGTGGAGGTCCTGCTCACTGTGTCATGTTTCCATTAGGCGATAAGAAACCGCTCACTGTACATCCATTACACATCAATCTTGTGGCTGATTGTCTGGTTTTACTTTTGTAGCTCTTAAAGAAGCATCAGTATTAAATTAATTTCTAGCTCAAAGCTCCTGACATCATCAATTTATCTTGTGTCTTTTTTTTTTTCCCCCCTTCCTCCACTGTAGCGAGGCATCGACCCAGCCACCAGACAGGACCCTTCCATGATGGCGATGCTGCTGGAGATGGGCTTCGGAGACCAGCGGCTCAACCAGCGGCTGCTGAGGAAGCACGGCTACAGCCTGCTGCACACCGTCAACGAGCTGGTGCAGATGGCCGAAGACAGCCAGAACAAAGCTGTCAACTCTCTGCACTAAAGGGGGAGGGGGGGGGGGGATAACCGCAGGGGGAGAGGCTACTTTTGTTTAAGGCTTTAAAAGAAGGAATTGAAAACATGATGTAAAAATATTTAGATTATGTCCTGCATATCGCTCACCCTTTACAGCGTCTAGCTTTATATTCAATTCTGTAAAGTCCAGACAAAGAAAACCTTTCTGTGTGTGACTTATTGGTTGATCATTTATTTGGAACAAAATGAATAATAATTACACACACAAAAAAATCCGTTAAAGGCAGGGTTGGTTATTTTTTCAAAAACTAGCATGATTATGAAAGTAGCATTCCCTCAGTGCTCCGTCTGCACCCGGCCACTCCCCTCTGTGCTCCCTCAAAAGCCACGCCCCCTCACTTACATGCACAAGCGTCATTGGTCCAGAAGCGGACCTCAGCTCATGCATTGAGTGTGGGCTCGTGCACACAAGGGGTAGAGAACGAGCAGGGAGACAGGGAGCCGTGATTGGTTCATAAAAATGGCACCTCGTGCAGACATTGGTTGAAGTTTTTACAGGCTAACAACGGCCACAGATGATGATTTTCTTCGTTCCTTTTTCAGAGCTCATGAGTTATTAATTCCTATCAGGACCTAAAGACAATTTCAACCAAAATCTTAAAAAGTGTATCTGGAGGAAATGACCAACCCTGCCTTTTAACGTGTAAAAAAAAAAAAAACTTAAAAATTTGCATATATTTCTTCAAACTCTAAATTAGAAAGAATGGCTTCCCTGCCTTTGCCTTTACTTTAGCTTCAACATTGGGTTGAAATGAAACATATACACCTGTAAATTACTCAGACTAGCGGTGAACCTTTGCCATGCCTTGTTTACCTTGGACCATAGAGCCTTCTGTGTCGATGTAATGCTGCAGGAGCTGTGTAGTTCAGACCGGACATAGGAGTGTAGTATTCCAGCTCTTTCATCTTCGTGTTTGTGTGGCTGTCGTAGCTGCTTCCTCGGCGCTGAAAATAATCGTATTCGGAGAAAAAAGGGCTTCTTTGGCTAGATTCTTCTCTCAAATAGAGCAGTGGATGGTAGTATTGTTGAATGTCAAAAAAAAAAAGGCCTGCTCTCGTGTGAGACGATGCTACTGAAGCTTTTCATGGGTGTTCTTTGGTGTTAAGGGTCGGCAATTTGCAGTAGTAAGAAAAAAAGAAAAGAAAAAAAACAAGATATCTGAGACGTTTCTTGATTATCGTAGTGAAATCTGCCTAAACAATGCAATCTTTTTCTGTATCAGAGTACTGTTATTTTAGACGTTGACATGTGGAATGTATTCAAAACTTTGCCCGAGCGCAATTGCCGCTCGGACTCGGATGTTTTCTACCGCTTTTTAGGAGACACCTGCATGACAGGTAGAGGCTGTAGAGATGAGTCGTGTTCTTGTGGTCTTAGCACAGTCACAGTTTGGGGGGGGGGGGGGGGGCTTTGCATCATCATTTATCTCCCCTGCCTGCATTTTGTCCTCATTCAGCCACCATCCCTCCCCCTTCAAAAAAAATATAAACCTAGCAACAGTCATTCAACACTAATCCAAGCTGAGATGTCTCTAAACACATTCCTTTAATCTCATAGTGGAACCAAGTATGTTTTTATTTAAATACATTGCCTTTTGGAGAGATGATTATTCGTTTACTGACATAAATGTGCTGATTTGACATATTATGTGTGTGCGTGTGTGTGTGCAGATTTACGTTAATGTACACCTCTGTTCTCTTCATTTATTCTTTCTTAGCGTGCGTGTGCCGGGTTGACGAGTTTTCAAATCACGTTTTCTTATGTTGACGATTCTCCGTGTTTAAAAAAAAATCTTTCTCTAGAGAATAATTGTGAATATATCTACTACTGTACGCTTGTCGAATTATTCTTCTGCCACAGAGTGTATACATTGAATCCTCTCAACTGTCAATCCGCCAATAAACTATTTGCACATCTCTCCTTTGTGTGTGTCTTTGCCCCTCTGTTAATGAGAAGTGTCTGAATGTAGGTTATGCAACGCTGCACCATGTGTGTCCTTTATGAAGGCCTGCAGTGCTTTCTGTACGAGGTTAACTAGACGTAACAAAAGGTACAGAGGCTTCAAAGGTTACTGTGACAATACTGCAGTTTTAACAGAATTATGTGTGCGGGTTCAACGTATATAAGAAAGTCACTGAAGTGCAAAATCTACTCAGACTGTTAGGTCTCAAGATTGTGTCTTGAGTCAAGAATAAAATTATTTTGTTTTTTGTTGAGCATAAAAAACGCAAGCCCTAAGAGGACAAACATCCATACCATATATTTTACTCTGTTTTCCTGTTACAATGAGTCAATTTAGGTTTTTTTCTGAAGAGCTCAATGGGCTTATCTTGTTGCCTTGGGATAACAACGCTGGTTTTCCCGGGATATAAAGAGTTAAATTCAGTCCTTCAGAAATCTAATTATTGGAACACCAGAGATCTGCTCTCGGGATAATGACATAAATGAGTCAAGATATCAAGAAAACAACCGGAAGGTAGCTTATGAACCTACATTATCACAGTAAAGCAGAGTAAAATGATTTTTTAAAGTACGGATTTTTTACTTACATGGGTCATTTTGTTGAAAAAGCAAAGGGGGTGGGGCGCTGGTGGCACAGCGGTTAGTGCGCGCGTCCCATGGCCTGTGGCTCCTTTCCTGCATGTCATTCCCCACTCTCTCTCTCCCCCCCATTTCTGACTCTATCCACTGTCCTATCTCTCAAATAAAGGCCCAAAAAGCCCAAAAATAAATCTTTTTTTTTTTTAAAAAGCAAAGGGGATGACACTCTGGGAAAATATATTTATATATTCTCTTGCAGAGAGTTCATTAGATTTAAATCCCTTTTAACTCTGTTTGGAATATGTGAAGCTAGTGCCACAGCCGGTTAGCTTAGCTAAGCACAGAATGAAAAAGGGTGATTTGTTAGCTTGGTTTAAAAAAATGCAGGAAATGAGGCAGGAAATGGAAACAACTAGCCTGGTTCTGTCTTAAATTTTAAAATCTAATCTAATCTGATACAATATGTTAATGAATTAGTTTTTATGGTTCAAAGTTTAAAAGTGATGTTTGAAGGTGTTAGCTCGTTATTTTTCTTCCTCTTGCTAGCAGCCGGTTAGCTTGTGTTAGCAAAAAGGCGGGAAACTTGGAAACAGTAAGCCTGGGTTGCAGAAACATTAAATCTATTTAAATATGTTAATTTGAGTTTTAAAACTGTAATCAGTTAGTACATTATTTAACATTAGAATAAGATTAGACGTATTTGCTCCTTAGACAGACATTCAAATGCAACTCTGTGGTACACAAAGTTAGATTTAAATTAGACCAATTTTTATCCGAAGCAATCACTTCAGTTCTTTATTTGAGATCTCGAGAAATTAACTTGTTATCTCTGAAAAATACAACTCCTTAATTGTTACAATGGGAACAGGAGTTACAAAAATTGTGATATATAACATAGGTTTAATTAGTCCATAAAAACCCAATTAAAAAAAAAAAAACACACATTCTGTATGGACATTACTAAATGGAAATTTTGTTAATATATAAAAGCAATAAAGGAAGTTTAAAAAAACAAAACAATTTTTGTATTTTATTAGTTCTTTTGTCAAAGGGAAGACTTAACAATTGTCTAAAAGTGGAAGGTACACACACTCTTCACAGGTAGGCCTACAGTGAAGCGAGGGGGCCAAAAGGGGCCCTTATAGAATTATTTGCCCCTGTGGCCACAAAAGAGGTTAATCAGGCCATGGTAGCCTACATTAGATATATTGCGAAATGTACCTTTAAATATTTGAGATTGTATAAACGTCTGATTTAACCATGGACAGTCGTCACGCTGCATCAATCCAGAAAAGGTAATCAAAACCCCTCGCATGTGATCTGTGGCTGCAGACAGCCCAAAGTGAACTGTGAAGACGGAAGTTATCCTCCCACTCGGTTTTGTTTTTTCAGACTCTGAAGTCTTTAAGAAGCTCTTCAGCATTTTAAACATGACAAACCACTAGTGACGCAGTTTCATTTTCACACTGGGTGATTTTTTGACTTTTGACTCGAGTCGTGCTGGGAGGTAAGAGCTCATTTCTTACATCTGGAGTAATGCAGGAGTCATTTTTCTGCCCCACATGTTTGTTAGTGTGTTGTGCTATATTTGACCGTGAAGCCTAAAACAGCAAGTGAAACACCGACAATGTAAACAAGCTCGGGGAATACGGAAGTAGCCTACATAGGTGTATGTAAGGGCTACAATTTTCGTTATATTTGATATCTGCAATACATAAATCTGTGTAAAGCAAAATGTATTTTTATTTATTTATTTATGATTTATTGATAAGGACAGAAGAGCGTTTGTGTAGTCTCAATAAAAGATAGAAACAGTGCAAAAGGAGAAAGAGCAAACTGGGTACAGTAGAATTGTACTCTTAATGTGCGTTTTCATGTTATTGTTATTGTCCAAAAATGCAGCAATAAAAACCTGTTTACATCCCCAAATGATGTGCAGAATAACCAGGACGTATCAAAGTATCCTTGGCAAAGGAAGTACTGTACTGCTTGACAAACTGCTTGACAAAAAAAGGCTGCGTCATATTTTCCTGTTAATGTCTTTTGTCTTATCATCAAAATAAAGCCTTCTTAATGTTTTTTAATTAAAGTAGACCTACTCATAGAGAACAAGGGTATTTTCTATCCAATAATGTTAATATTGGATCACTTGTAATGTGTCATTTTACATCATGTTGTCGAGAACAGATCATTTTAGGATTAACTATTCACAATTCAAAATCTGATTTAAAAATTTGATTTATTTTAGTTGAATATTTATCTGCAAACTGGTAGATACTGCAGCTTTAAGATTAAGGCACTGAGTACAATATTTTCCTGTACTCATTGTAAAAGTAGGCCTAAGTGATTCTTATCCTATACCTGCAACTTTAATGTAGAATAACTGAATTTAGTCTTTAAAGAGGAATATCCTGATTTTAAGTTCAGTATACCATACGATGCTTCTTTGTATATTACGACTATCTGTGGCTTTGCAATTTTTTTAATTGCTTGAATTTTTTTTAAATGATTTTGTCTGGTGTTTTAAATGAAAACCTGTTTGCCAACTGTGTTAAGAAGGAAACTTTGATCGGATAAATTGTGCCAGGAATACCAGGAAATAGCTTTCCACTGAAGGTTCTCTGATAATAGTTTTAGTCATGGTCATCACTATCTCAAATGTCTCATGTGTTTTTATTGTAAAAAAAAAATGATGGGTTTTGTTTTTTTTGCCCCCCGCCCTCCTCCCCTCCAAACACACACATACATAATCACATTTTTTATTTATGGGCGTCACAAGACTTATTGCATCAAACTTGAAGTTCCCATCATCACTTTCTCCAAAAGCTGTGATTTGGACACAAACCATTCATTTCTGCTGAATCTGCATGCTTTTGGTTCCTTAACTGAATCAAACCATGAACCCAAATACATGCATCACTTCTCTCTTTCTATCTGAAATGAAGCAGTCATCAGAAAAACATGGTACAGTATCACAGGGTTTTTTACTAAGTTGCCAAACTGCAATAAAGTAATGGAACACGGGGCTGTCACTCCCACTCTGTGGACTCTGCTCGTTTTCTCACATGACGTCTAAAATCGAGCTTTTATTGGCCGTTCAAAGGTTTGTGAGGGAGGCTGACGTTCTGCTGCACGAAGCCACACACACCGTCTGTTAGTCACAGGTGAAGCTTTGGATTTTTAAGGTGGAGATTTCATCCATTTTGGTTTCTCTCTCTCTCTCTCTCTCTCTCTCTCTCTCTCTCTCTCTCTACTTCAGACTTGACTTTTTCTCTCTAAAGTGCCATGGTATCATTGGGAAATAGCAACAATCACGCGGAGGGAGCTGATCTTAAAAATGGGTCAGAGAGGGCGAGAACACTGAAGCACTTTCCTCCGTACGGCACCATGAGCGGGAACTCATCAGCTGACACCTGTCCAACCTGTCGCGGCACCGGGCGAATACCCAGAGGTCGGTTTTCTTCCATCAAAATGTTTTTTCATGATTTTGTTTATTCTAGGTTCTTGTTTTACAGATTTTTGAGGTTGTTAAATGCAAAAATAACCAAAAACAGCTCGGTGAAGTTTACAGTTTTTTGTCTCTAAAAACGTTCATTTTACTGAGTCAAATCGACAGACACAAATAAATTGATCCACTTTCACATCATTTTAGTGATAATAATTAACTTCCATCTCTATTTTTTTCTTTTCAACAGGCCATGCCGACCAGCTAGTTGCTGTAATCCCATGTAATGATGTCAGGCTGAAACCCAGACGCACGTAAGAGATGAATTTATTTGTCATTTTTTTACATTTAGAAATATTCCCTGAACGCTCTGTAATCACATCATAGAACAAACTGCTCTTTGAATGAAGCATTACCCTGAGTACATGTTGCACAGGATTTCTAATGTTTGCACCATGTTTCATGTCATTTAGCATGTTTTTTATGTTTGTTTTTGCAGAAAGCTGTACGTTTGCACCTCCATGCTGGTGTGTCTCTTGCTCTCCTGTCTGATCCTCTACTTCCTCTTCCCCCGGAGTGTCACCGTGACGCCCGTGTCGGTGCTGTCCGTCATGGTCTACTTCAACCCAGGCACGATTCAAATGGAGGTCACGGTGAGTAACAGCAGCGATAAGAGCAGAGCCAGTTACATGGGAATCTCTACGTTGTATATAGAAAAAATCACTTCACTGGGAAAAAAAGAAAAAAAAGAGATGTTCCTTTTTAGTTTCTTACTCAGTTGAAAGCTCCTTGTTTCATACAACCTACTACAGCATAAATAGAATAGAATAGAATAGAATTACTATATTGATCCCAAACTGGGAAATTGTGGCGTTACAGCAGCAGGTTATCCAACACACAATATGAGTAAAAAACACAATGTTATCAAATCTAAACACAATATAATATTAAATACAAATTAAATAAGTACTAAAAATATCAAAACTAAGAATGTGAATATATACAACCAGGATTTAAGTTAGCATTACTAGTCTTAAATAGGAGGATTAAATATGAAAGATTAAATGTAAATGTGCAAAAACGGAGTAGTAAATGGACAGTATTGACATAAGTTGAAGTGTATGAGTGTAGACATATTATAAGCAGAAACTATACAATATAACGGCGAGTAGACAGCCAAATGAAGTAAACATGAGTGCAGGGATAATTTGTAAATTTAACATGTGCAGAACAGATTACAGTATGGAGAGACAGATATTATCATCATGCACCCTGACAGTTCAAGGCGTGATATTTACTCCACTGAAACGTCTTTCCTTCAATGTGAATGTCAGAATGAGGGGAGGACGTGATCCCACCTCTGTGCCTCCATCAGAGGTAGTAACCGGTGATCATCAGAGCCAGCCGAGGAGAACAGCGCCATGTGCTTGTCTCAGTAGCCCTTTTTCTGATGTCTGCATGTGGGCCCCAGAGTCGCCTGCTCTCAGTCTATACCTCGTTTTCCTCTTTTTTGGAAGGAGAGTTTTTTCTTTTCCCCTGACAAGCTGTGTGTGTTTCTTCTTCTCCTAGAACCTCATCAACATCACCAACGAGAACTTTGTCCCGGTTCAGCTCGTCGAGTTCGACATCCAGTGTCTCATTTCCGAAGTGGTGGTGGGCAAGACCAAGATAAGTAACATGACCTCCATACCGTCCCGCTCACAGAAATCGGTGAGTTTTGCACAAAATCAATCACAACAGAATGCTCTGCCCTTCTCTTTTCATATCTTACCCCTCTCTCTCTTTTTTTTTTTGAACATTTGCAGTACATCATTAAGAATGAGCTGACTATCTCTGATACAGGATTGTAGTAAGTTTACACTTTTCATTTTCAGAAAGCTCTTCAAAGTGTCTTTTTCTATTTTCATGTGTCGATGTCCACTCACTAACGGCTTCTCATCTTTCAGCGATTACTGCAAGTCGACCTCGATCCATATTCACACGTTGTTTCTGGAGCTGCAGTAAGTATCCATCTCAGTCTGAACATCTCAAACTTACAGAGACCTGAATGCATCACTTTGTGTAGAGAGGGGCTGAAAGTCTTATCCTCTAAAGTCATATCTTTCAATCTAACATGTTCTTAGAAAAAAGAGTCAGATATCGAGGAAAGAGAGATTGATTGGGGAATGACATGCAAGAAAGCAGCCACAGGTCAGATTCGAACCTGGGCCGCCTGCTTGGTGGACCTCCGCCTTGGTACATGGGGCGTGCACACCAACCACTAGCCCACCAGCGCCACATTAGTCTGCTCTTTTAATTGCAAACCACACTTTGCAATCAACAGTAATCCGATACTGCAATCTGCAAATAGTCAATAATCTGCATCAATTCCTTTTTTTTACCACTTGGGGGCAGCAGAACAAGCTGGAAAAAATATATAATCATCTTATGAATATATTACCTGATATGTAATCATATGTGAACTAAAAACAACCACACGTGCTAATGCTAAGGTCTTTTCTCACTGTGTTAAATATTCTCTCTGCCTTTTTCTCTCTTTTGGTGACAGCGTGACAAATACTGTGTCTGTTATCAGTCAAGCAGTGTACATTTGGGTTATCTGAGCTTTCTCAGTCAGAGGTGTTGCTTGTCAACAGGAAAGACAGGCAACTAATTGCGGCCCCAGTGGTGGTTGACTGTCGGTTGTAGTGTTTGCAGTGTGTTCAAGTGCAACTTTTTGACCCAAAAAAAAGGTGCTGTTATATGACGCCACAGACCACAGTCAGCCTTCGTCGCAACTAGTTCTTTGCCGTCTGCTTGGTGTGTCAGGGCCTTTAAACCAAAGCGGGGGCCCAAAATGTGCACATTTTCAATGACAGTAGGAAACCTCCCGAAGGGGGTCCTTCTTATCTGACAGCACTCAGTCTTGTTGCCCTGCTAAGCGTCGCATGCATTATTATTGCTGTGTAAAGTTTGTCAATGAAAGTCAAGAGGAATTTTTCTATTTATTGAAAACGCTGGTTTGAGGGGCCCCCCCAACTGATTTTTGGCCCAGGGCCCCAACAGACTCTAGGATCGCCACTGTTCTCAGTTGTATTGAACCAATATAGCGCAGAACGTATATGGTGGTTTTCCGTCGGCTGTAGTCTTTGCGGTGTGTTCAAGTGCAACTTTTTGGCAAAAAAAGGCGTTGTTAGTCGACGCCACAG